AGTATGAAACTAGACCCCCACCTCTCACCTTATATAAAAAATCAACTCAAAATTGATTAAAGACTGTAATACCCAAAACTATAAAACTATTAGAAGAAAACATAGGGGCAATACTTCAGGACATTAATTAGGGAAAAGATTTCATGAATAAGACCTTGAAGCAGCAACAAAAGCAAAAATAGACAAATGGGGTTACATCAAACTAAAAAGCTCTGCACAGAAGGGGAAACAATTACAGCGAAAAGACAAACTACAGAGTGGAAAAAAATATTTTAAAACTATTCATCTGAGAGGGGATTAATATCCAGAATATACAAAGAATTCAAACATCCCAAAAGAACAATAGCTAGACAATCCAATTAAAAAATGGGCAAATGGTCTTAACAGAAATTTCTCAAAAGAAGACATACAAATGGCCAAAAGAATATGAAAAAATGCTCAATGACACCAATAATCAGAGAAATGAAATCAAATGATACCACAAGGTATCACTTTATCCCAGTTAAATGGCTACTACCAAAAAGACAAAAAATAACAAATGCTGGTGAGGATGCAGGCTAAAGGGAACTCTTATACACAGTTGGTGGGAATTTAAACTAGTACAGCCACTATGGAGAACAGTACAGAGGCTCCTCAAAAAACTACAAATAGAACTACCACATGATCCAGCAATCCCACTACTGGGCATTTATCCAAAGGAAAGGAAATCAGTACATGGAAGAGACATCTGCACCCCCATGTTTATTGTAGCACTGTTCACAATAGCCAAGATACAGAATTAACCTAGGTATCTAACAACAGATGGATAGATAAAGAAAATATAGTATATGAGGGCTGTCTGGAAAGTATCCAGGCATTGTTAATAGTATTTTTCATATTACATGGCTGGATACTTTCTGGACAGCCCTCATATATACAACAGAATACTATTCAGCCATATAAAAGAAGAAAATCCGATCATTTGTGGCAACATGGATGGAACTGAGGACATGTTAAGTGAAATAAGCTAGGTGCAGAAAGTCAAACACTTGCACGTTCTCACTCATATGTGAAAGCTAAAAAAGATTGACCTCATAGAGAATACTAGAGGCTTGGAAGGGTAGGGGGAGGGAGGAACAGAGAAAGATTTGTTAAAGGATACAAAATTACATCTAGATATGAGGAATAAGTTTTAGCATTCTATACCTCTGTAGGCTGACTATAATTAACAACAATAATAAGTAGTTTCAAATAGCCAGAAGGAGGATATTGAATGTTCCCAACACAAAGAAATGATGAAAGTTTGAGATAATGAATATGCTAATTACCCTGATCTGCTCACTCTACATTATCTGTATCAAAACATCACTATGTGTCCCATAAATATGTACAATTATTATGTGACACTTTAAAAATAAAATTAATTTAAATTAAAACTTATAAAAATTAAACCATAGCTGGGTACGGTGGCTCACGCTTATAATCCTTACAATTTGGGAGGCCAAGGCAGGAGAATTGCTTGAGGCCAGGAGTTCAACACCAGCCTGAGCAAGAGTGAGATTCCTGTCTCTTCAAAAAATAGAAAAATTAGCCAAGCATGATGGTGCATACCTGTAGTACTAGCTACTCGGGAGGCTGAGACAGGAAGATCACTCAGCCCAGGAATTTGAGGTTGCTGTGAGCTATGATCATACCACAGAGCATTCATTCATTTATAAACAAACAAACAATGCTATGCTCTTCCTACCAGGCCACAAAGCCCCTTAAGACTGGGATTATATCAACAGTACCATCAGTGGGTAGGTCTGGAATTACTCTTGATGGCCCCGTGAATCCCTAAATTAGTGAGAGGGCATATGGGCATTTCCATTGTAGATATCTACAAAGTTTACCACATAGAGTCCTAAAACTGAGATTTTTGCCTCAATTTGACTGGCTAGGCTCCTGGTCCACCAATGTGAAAACACTGCCTTAAGCCTAGGTGGAAACACAGATGGACGTGCAGGTTTGCAGATGGGAAAATTGATAAGAGACTGTTGAGTTTAATTTTGGAAATGATGAAGGTGAGGGCTGTGGACACCAACTTAGAGCACCACCATTTTGTAATTTCTAATGAATACCTGGGTCTAAACAATGATCATCGATGGTTGCTAAGATCACAAATAGACAATCTTTTTTTTTTTGCCTCCTGATAGAAGTACATTAAACCCATTCTTGCCAGAACCCCAAACTAATCAACTTCTTGATTGACTTACCAATGTATAAGAAATATAGCTGACAGAAGAATATGTTAAACGACACCATAGGGAAGCAGTCAGAAAAACCCACATAGTTGGAAGTTGTACAGGATAAATAACCCAGTTTTGTCAACAAATACATCACAAGGGAGAAAGAAAGAGGGAGGGAGAACCAATAGATAAAAGTCTTAAGAGATATAGCAACAAATTGCAATTTTTTGAATTTTATTTGGATATTGATTCAAAAAAAATTTTTTTACTATTTATTTATTTACTTCTTTATTTATTTGAGACAGAGTCTCACTTTGTTGCCCAGGCTAGAGTGAGTGCCATGGCGTCAGCCTAGCTCACAGCAACCTCAAACTCCTGGGCTCAAGCGATCCTCCTGCCTCAGCCTCCCGAGTAGCTGGGACTACAGGCATGTGCCACCATGCCCGGCTAATTTTTTCTATATATATTAGTTGGCCAATTAATTTCTTTCTATTTATAGTAGAGACGGGGTCTCGCTCTTGCTCAGGCTGGTTTTGAACTCCTGACCTTGAGCAATCCGCCCGCCTCGGCCTCCCAAGAGCTAGGATTACAGGCGTGAGCCACTGCGCCCGGCCAAAAAAAATTTTTTTTTAAATATGAGACATTTCCTCAAACAGTTAAACATAAAGTTACCATAATTCCACACTTAGGTATATACCCAAGAGAAATAAAAACATATGTCCACACAAAAAATTTTACATGAATGTTCATAGCACCATTATTAATAATAGCCAAAAACATGGAAACACCACAAAATTTCCATCAACTGATGAATGGATCAATAAAATGTAGTGTATCCATATAATGGAACATTATTCAGCAATAAAAAGAAATGAAGTACTGATACATTCTATAACATGGATGAATTTTGAAAACATTAAGCTAAGTGAGAAAAAAGTCAGTCACAAAGGACTACATATTGTATGAATCCACTTATATGAAAAGTCCATAATAGGCAAATCTATATAGAGGCAGAAAGTAGATTAGTGGTTGCCTAAAGCTGGAGATGTGAGGGTGTGGGGGTAGCTGGGGAAGTGGGGGAGAGGTGATAACTAAGGGTTGTGGAGTTGTTTTTTTTTTGAGTAATGAAAATGTACTAAAATTGTAGTGATGGATTCACAACTGTGTTAATATACTAACAGCCATTGAATTGTACACTTTAAATGAGTGGATTGTATGGTATGTGAATTATATTAATGTCTCAATAAAGCTTTTAAGAAAGATAAAGCTACCAGAAATTATGAGACAACCAGTAAAATATGAATACTGACTGGATATACTTGATGACATTAAGTAAGTTCTTGTTTTAGGTGTGATGATAGTTTGTGGGTTTTTAAAATTTTATTTAATTTTATTTTTTGAGACAAGAGTCTCACTCTCTTGCCTGGGCTAGAGTGCTGTGGCATCAGCCTAACTCACAGCAACCTCAAACTCCAGGTCTCAAGAGATCCTCCTGCCTCAGCTTCCTGAGTAGCTGGGACTACAGGCATTCACCACCATGCCCACCTAATTTTTTCTATATATTTTTAATTATCCAGCTAATTTCTTTCTATTTTTTTTAGTAGAGATGGGGTCTTGCTCTTGCTCAGGCTGGTCTCGAACTCCTGAGCTCAAGCAATCCTCCTTTCTCAGCCTCCCAGAGTGCTAGAGTTTGTGGGTTTTTATAAAAAGTGTTCTTAATTAGCTGCATACTAGGTACTAAAATAAAAAAAAAAAAAGAAAAAAAAAGTGTTCTTATTTTTTAGAGATATCTACTGCCATATCTACAAATGAAATGATAAATTTAGGATTTACTTCAAAATAATTGGGGGGGGGGTGTTCAGTAGGGAAAGGAAAGATGAAACCATACTGGTCATGAGTCGGTCATTATTGAAGCTGGGTGATGAGCTCATAGCAATTCATTATGTTATATTTTTGTATGTATTTGAAATTTTCCAAAATAAAAGAACTAGAAGACAGAAAACAACAATCTTTGTCAGGCTGTACCCCTCGTTTACTGTGTGAACCTCTCTTTCTTCTGGGTTTTCACATGAAAACTGAGGATAACAATACCTATATCTCACACCATTCTTCTGAGGCATAAAAGTGAGGACATGTGGAAGAATGCCCTACCAAGAGATTTATCTCAATTTCGTTTAACAAGATCAGATTCCCAACAACAGTCCAAATGAAAATCCTCTGAGCACACTCGGGGGTGCTAGGAAACCCGACTTTAGACAATAAGGATCCACAGAGCTATTCAGAGAAGTACCAACGACAGAAATCAGTCTTCCCTACAGCAATGCGGGATAGTCCCAATCAAACAACCTTGTGGTTAAGTGCCAACGGACTTTGAACAAGTGGCCTCAGGAGAGGAAAATTTAGAGTGGGAGGAGACACTTAACGTCAAGGTCTTCATTCTACTACCCCCATCGGTTTACCGCTAAGCCCTTACTTTTCCATCCGCCTCTCACAAGTTCTATCTCCAAAGCTGGAACTGGTAGGGGGGAGAGGGTGGCAGAAAGGAGGACGAGCGCCTGGGTTCCCAAAACAAAGGAGGCTGAAGACCTAGCCTATGTGATCATAAGGAAAGGCCACCGCCTTCTCTCTCCCACCCTCACCTTACCCGACTGAATAGCAAGAGTCTTCAGGCAGGTAGATCGGTTGGATTCGATGGGAGGGAAGCGAGGGTGAGGGGGCAGGGCTACAACGGTACAGGAGCCAATGGGTGATGACACAGCGGTTTACGCCCCCTCCAGCCTCCTATTTTTGAGCGAGGAGCCCGAGATTTCTGAAACCTCTGCTCTTTCCGTTCACCAGATCCACCCCACCAGTGGTTGGGGGTATTTTCTTTTCTTTATCAAAGAAACTTACCCATGGGCCCTAAACAATCTGAACTCCTGAGATCTCTGAGCATTTAAAGAAAACCCATTCTCTGGATCTTTGGCAATCCTGACCACCTCTACCCACAGCCCCCATCCCCAGTTGCCAATTGACAGGCCTTGATCTTCTTTTTGGAAGTATCTCACCTCTGTTATGGCGCCAACTTCCCACGAGTTCTGAGAGACCAACTCAGTTATCATCTGCTGGGCAAATTCATTTCACTTAGCGCGGTGATAAAACCAGCAATGTCTCTTACTGAACAGCTATGGGACTCTTGGTGGGCTCAGCAATACAACTTTGTAGTTCCTCAAACTGGTTGTGCATTACTCACAGATGCACTTAGCCCACAACACAGTGTTGAAAACTACTGGTGCAGCCTTTCTTTAAAAATAATTTTTTTTGCTGGGCGCGGTGGCTCACGCCTGTAATCCTAGCACTCTGGGAGGCCGAGGCGGGCGGATTGCTCGAGGTCAGGAGTTCGAAACCAGCCTGAGCAAGAGCGAGACCCCGTCTCTACTATAAATAGAAAGAAATTAATTGGCCAACTAATACATATAGAAAAAATTAGCCGAGCATGGTGGCGCATGCCTGTAGTCCCAGCTACTCGGGAGGCTGAGGCAGCAGGATTGCTTGAGCCCAGGAGTTTGAGGTTGCTGTGAGCTAGGCTGACGCCACGGAACTCACTCTAGCCTGGGCAACAAAGTGAAGCTCTGTCTCAAAAAAAAAAGCTGGTCCATAGTGGGAGTGTATGTGGGCACTAATTAGGTAGGATGGTCTTTCTGATAAGGTGATGTATGAGCAGACTCCTGAATGAAATGAGGGAAGGAGCCATGATGAGATTTCAAGAAAGTGTTCCTAGCAGGGAAACAGGAAGTACCAAGGCCAGAGGAAGCATCATGCCTAGAGTTTTTAAGGAACAAGCAAGTCAGAGAGGCTGGAATAGAATGATAGGAGACGAGGCCAGAGATATAAGGGAAAGGGAACAAGATAATCAGGGACTGGGACCTAGAAGACATAACTGTGGAATGGAAGAGTAGGAGAATCCAAATAAAATACAAAGGACTTCTGAACCTAACTTTTTGCCAGGCTGGTGTGTGGACATTCAAGTGGTATAATTTAAAGGTGAAAGGCTCAGCATTTTTAAGTGATGGTGGTACTTGAAGTCAGCTCGCTCACTTATTAACTCATTTATTAACTCACTCAACAAACATTTCTTGAGACTCTGTGTCAGGAAAGCTTTGTGGTACTAAAATATGAGTGACTTATATTGAGCTCCTCCTTTCAAAGAGCACAAAGTCCAAAGAGATAGACCTATATAAAAAGATAATCCCAGTACCGGGTGGTAGATCTATAGTAGAGGTAACCAGGGACATCCCAGGAGTACAAATGGTTACTTAAGTATGACTAAAGACTTAAGGAAGGTGTCCTAGAGTAGTAGGTGCTTGAGCAGAGTCTGGACAGATGACTAGGCAGAGAAAAGAAGAAAAAAGAAGATTGGCATTCTAGACCAACAGATCCCACTCATATAGTTATTGAGAATGTATATAAGAGACTGGATATATGGCTGAAAGAAACTAAGGTAAGTTCCCTGACAGCTGAGTGTTACTTTTTTTTTGTCTGTGGTGTTCGCAGCTGGATACCCAGCACTAAGAAGTGTCCTTGGCACATCATAAACATTCTCATATTCATGGGATGAATGAAAAGGACTTAGCCCTTACCCTGAGGGTACTGCATAGCCATGGAAGGTTCTTGAGCAGTAGAAAGATGTTTGAAAATTTTTCTAGGGTTGGGATGGAAGATAGACTGACTAGGAAGAAGATGAGAGAGGATGAGATTTGAGATGAAGCAGGAGACTAGAGATGCAATAGAATATTTGAACGACACTAAGGTTGGGCTGCCCCTTCCCCCAAGGCTGGATAAGTCATGACTAGGCCTCCTATATACTCTTGTGGCCTTTCCCAGGTTCCTTACAGACATGACAGTCCTGTTGGGCTGTCCCATGTCCCCCATCTGTGGTTGGCTGTGGTGCTGTGTCTAAAATTATCATCACAAAATCAAATGAGATAAGTTCTAAAGAGTGTCCAGCATAACTTCTTTCATTTAGGTTTTGCTTTTCTTTTAATTTGTTTTGGGGTGGGAGGACACGATGGTAGGAAGTGAACAGAAAAACAAATCTTCATTCAAATCGGTCAAGAATTCACCAAGTTGGGGAAGCTGGAGACATGTCTCTAATAGTTGTCAGCTTACCTAATAAGTAAAAGTGAATAAGAAATCTTCACTACTTATTTTGCCAGCAGCTGAAACGTAACACACCTCAAAATAAAAAGGAGTACTTCTCTGATTCTCAGCATTCATGTTAACACTGACCCAGACTCTGTGTTCCACTAAACAAAAGGAGACCTGCACTCATGAAAAATAGATTCACCTTTCTTTAACACACTTGAGAACAGTAGTCCTTAAAACAAAGTTTCTGGTCAATTGGTCAGTTTGGCCCTTCAGTAGGAGAACTTGAGTTTTGGCGAGCTGCCCACTTCCGACACTATGAAGCCCTCTGGGCATGGCAGACTCCCTCCCCCGCGGGTGGGCCCTGCCCCACCGTCCCCAGGGCTCCTCTCCTAGGCCCATGCTCTGGGGAGTGCTCAGTCTCCCGGAAATGCCCGTTCTCCTCACTTTACTTGGTTCCCTGGAACTATATAACCTCTGAAAAGTAAAGGAGGGAGCTGGTGTCCAGGGTCCTTAAAAGACCAGAAAATGTTACTGTCCCTAACAGACGAGTGATGAGGCTGGACCAAGTTTTCGCCATCTGCGCACTTGACACCAGTGGCTTTCCCAAAGGGCAGGGACCGACGGCCGAGTAATTATGAAGGCCGGGCCTAGGGACTGGCTCCAACTCAGATTTGTCCAGCGAAGGGGACTAAGGCCAATTTCTTGGGTCCTAAGGGGGAAAAAAGGAGGGATCACTTTGATCTCTCAGTTCCCGGGAGCCTGAGGCGTCCAGGAGGCTCCGGCGGAGTGGCCTGTTGCTTCGCGGGGAGTCCGGTCAGCCAGGGCCTCGGAAATGGCGCTCAGCCTCACACACCCCAGACCTGTGAACCTTTCCGGGCTCGCAGGGCCAAATCACCCTCACCCTGGCCTCAGGGCCTCTGCCAGGCTCTTCAGTCCAGTCAGGAGAAAATGAGGGTGAAGAAGATTCAGCCGAGAAGCCTAGCAACCTGCTCACGCCCCTTCAGGCCTCCACAGACCCACTCCAGCGGCGCTCCTCGAGCTGCCTCACGCACAGCCAGGCCGGCCATGTCTCTGCGCATGCGCCGGCCGTCGCTCCCCTCGCGCTCCCCGGCTACTAACCCAGCGAACGCTTTCGCCACTCCGCCCCCAGCCCAACATGCACGTGCACACACCCTCTGACCGCGCATGCGCTGCTGCTGCCTAGCATTTCCGCTTTGGACCATATGCTCAACTCCTTTCCTCTTCTGTGCTCCCCTGCTCTTCTGTCTGGTCTTTGCTGACGCCCCTGGTCTGGCGCATGCGCCTTGCTTCCACTCCGCAGTGGGCATAAGGTAGAAGGCTTGATCTTCCAGTTCATTCCTTCTAGCATTCAAACATTTGACAGTTACTTAAAGATCGTCTGCCAGTAGCCAGCCTCAAATATGCATCCGTCAAGACAGACAAGGATCTTGCCTTAAAAGAGCTCAGAAATCTGGGATTGCAGACAAGAATAAAAAACTCAGAGATTTACTTAAGTCGTCCACTCTCAAACTTTTTGGTCTCAGGACACCTTTTGCACCCTTAAAAAATTACTAAGAACGCCAATAATTTATATGGGTTATATTTATGTGGGTTGTGTGTTTGTGTGAGTTATATCTATCACTATTTTTTTTTTTGAGACAGAGTCTCACTTTGTTGCCCAGGCTAGAGTGAGTGCCGTGGCGTCAGCCTAGCTCACAGCAACCTCAAACTCCTGGGCTCAAGTGATCCTCCTGCCTCAACCTCCCAAGTAGCTGGGACTACAGGTATGCACCACCATGCCCGGCTAATTTTTTGTATATATATTTTTAGTTGGTCAATTAATTTCTTTCTATTTTTAGTAGAGACCGGTCTGGCTCAGGGTGGTTTCGAACTCCTGACCTCGAGCAATCCGCCCGTCTCAGCCTCCCAGAGTGCTAGGATTGCAGGCTTGAGCCACCACGCCCAGCCATCTATCACTATTAAAACAGAAATTTCTAAAAGTCATTATCATTAAAAATCCACATAAATAACATTTTTACTAAAAAGAAATTTCCACACCAAAAGAAATTTTAATGAGAAGAGAGGCATTGTTTTACATTTTTGCAAATCTCTTTAATGTCCAGCTTCATAGAAGACATTTGGATTCTCATATTTACTTCTGCACTGGGTCTGTGGAAATAGCTCATGTCTTGTAGCTTCAGGAAAACATAATTGTTTTCCGAGAGAAAGCAATGCCTCAGGAGCCCTCCAGGAGTCCCTGGGCCACATTGAGAATCACAGGCTTAAATGGTAATAATTCAACAAAGAGATGTAGAAGAAATTTTCTGGGTGCTGCAAGAATTCATCACAGTCTGTGGAAATCATTCAATGCTTCAACACATACTTACTGAGGGCCTTCTAAATGCCAGGCACTGGGACTACTGTGAACAAGACAGACTCCAGCCCTGCCCTCATTTTGCTTCACATAATGGGAAAACACGTTAATATTTTGGATATGTTAGGTTAAATAAAATATATTATTTAAAATAATTTTTCTATTTTTTTATGTTTTAATGTTCAAAGGATATTACTTGTAATAACTAAAAACTGGAAACAACAGAAATGCCCATCCACAGTTGAATGAATAAATTATGGTTTATTCAGACAATGGATACAGTGATGAGGCTATAAGAACTATTACTACTTACTCTACTGATGAATTTCACAAATACAGTGTGAACAAAATAAGTCAAACATGAAAGACTATATACAGTCTGATGTAATTTATATAAAGAAAAATAGGACAAACCAAACTATAATGTTAGAAATCAGGAGGATAGGGACTAGTGATTTATAAACAGTTTCTGGGCTGATATTGTTGTTGGTGGCTACATGGGTATTTTCTTTGTGATAATTCATTGAGGTGAACATTGTGTTTTGTGAATATTACTATATGATGTGTCATATAGCAAAAAAGCTAGGCACAGTGGCTCATGCCTGTAATCCCAGCTACTCAGGAAGCTGAGGCAGGAGGATGGCTTGAGTGATTGAGGCTACAGTGAGCTAGGATAATGCCACTGCACTCCAGCCTGGGTGACAGAGTGAGACCCTCATCTCAAAAAAAATAATAATAAAGTAAAAAATAACATTATATACTTAAAACTACTTAAAGAAAATTCAGAA